AAAAAAAAAAAAAAAAAAAAAAAAAAAAAAAAAAAAAAAAAAAAAAAAAAAAAAAAAAAAAAAAAAAAAAAAAAAAAAAAAAGAAAAAAAAAGTGGAACTTAGTTTGTATTGATAAATAAACTTCCAAAAACAATGGAAAATCCACCTGAAGTGGATATTGAAACATTTACAAGGATTACAAGCACCTAAAAAGCTCTTCTGTTTTTCTGTCCATTTCTAGATATTCTACTGGAACATGAAATGCTTGAAATCCCCAGCTTGCTGGTACTCCTCGGAGTAACCCACTGAACCTACTCAGGGTTTAAAAAGGCTGCAGAGTTTGATATCAAAGTGATGAGGCAGATCAGATAACCAAAGCCCAATTAAAACAAACATACAAACAAATATTATCAAGCCACTTAGTGTCTCCAAATCTGAATTTTGGAGTCTTTTAACATGTTTTACCACTTGTGATTGTGATCAGCACTTTTCCTTCCTGGAAAGGAAGGAGATGTGTCTACATTGTAGGAAATTTGTGGTACAAAACACTGAGTGGTGTTAACATTGTCACTGCACACAGTAAGTTTTACAAGGAGTAACTAGAGCTTATAAATAGAATTTTTGGTCTTGTGTCATAACTAACAAAACATAGTGCATCTTTCCTACTCCCACAAACGCTTAAAACTCTTCCCCCTGTCTTCGCTTGACTGATACAAAGGTCTTTGAGATAAAGAGAATTATTGTGGCCCAAATTAAGTTTATAATTTATTAAACCTAAAGAAATACAGTTTAGTCCAGTTTTCCTTTAAGTAATTMAATAATCCAAAATCACTTCAATGTTTGCCTTAAAAAAGTTATTAGCTGCCTAGCATTTTAACTAAAATGAAGTACCTGAATAGAAAATAGATTCCTAGAAAATAAATCATCTTTTATTATTATTATTATCATCACCACATGGTTTGGAAATGGCTATTTCATGCTTCTCTGATTCAGTCAAATTTCTGAGATAATAATATTTTAAATTAGAAGTAGAGGAAGTCCCAGTTCTAAGAAATCAAAACAAAATCTGAATCACTGACCTAATAAAAACAACAGTGCTTGGTTTACATCCTTTATATTTCAACCTTATTAAGTTGTACTTTAASAGATGCAGTCCCTATGACTTTATCAAAGTTTTATCTGATGACTTTATTAAGATAATCCACACTCAGGACAAGTTTATTTCTCCTGTTAGAGTTTATGTGGTTGTGTTGGCAATCCTTTACCTCTGGAGTGCCACAGCTTATAACAATCTTTCTGTGATATAAAACTGACAATGTGACTTAAAGAATCCTTWGATACACAGATGCTCTCGTGAAACTGAGGTTTTATTTATGTTGAAGCTCAACTCTAGAAATMACATAGTGCAGCAAATACTGGGCTCATCTGTCTGCAGCACTGGGTAATGATCTGATTCAAGAGAAGGATGAGTGCGTGAAACCCACTCCAGAATCGTCTGCAAGACAGCAGTAATTGCCAGCATTTCTGTTAAAAATACCAGAA